CGGGCCCCGTCCCCCCCCTCGGGTACAGCCTCGTACCGCGCGTTTCCTGCTCTCGAAAGACTCGTTTGCCGTTCTCACTGCTTCTTGTCGTGTCTCGCTGTTAAACCGCGAAGTGATCGCGGTAGGATGTGTTTTTCTAAAGCCTGGTTTTCTTTGTCAGTATTATGACTTTTTGTTTGTTGAAGCCTCTTGCCTGCCGTACCCATTCCTCAAACCTTTGAAATACTTACAAATATTTATCTCCTAGGGAAAAAGTACAGTGCTAGTGTACCATCTGGTTTTAAGCTATGAACTTATGAAAGTAAGTGACTGTTCCGCTTACATCCCTTTCTTGAGGGTCAGTGTTTGAGTTCCCACATACATCAATCCTGTACGTCAATTATGTATGTACGGAAGATCCACAGGAAGGGCAGGCTTGGTGGGCCACAAAGGTTTAAGAAAAAGGTAAATGAAACAAAACAGGGCAGAAGTGCAACCCCGGGGCTTTTCGGTGACAGTCAATGGCAACACTGAGCTCCACAGAATGTGCAGTTTAAGCCCCCAAGCCCCAGGCATTGTGCTGCTGCAGTGAGTGTATTGATACCTACTAGGTTCTTCCTTTTCTGCCCCAGCAAACCAGCTCAGAGTGCACTTGGATCTGAAGAGCATGGAGGGGAAAGGCCATATCCGTCTCAGAGTGGTACTAGCAAAGTGTTAGCATGCTAAAATTTTCTTGCCATTTCTTGCTTTATTGGTGATCCAGTAACTTTCCACTATTAGAAATGTTTTCAAGTGCAGGTAGGCGCTTGTGCTGGATGACTTGGTGTGAACTAGAATGTGCAGTGAGATGATGCCATTCGTAAATGGTTCTATCCTCTCAATAGCACCAACTATTGTATGCATTAATAAATATTAAAATTAAGAGTATGTCTTTCATGGGAAGGAGGATGGTTAAAATGAGGGGTAGAAGTACTGCTAGGAGGGCAACATGGATGAAGACAGAGAGTATTTTTTAACTGATAAGGTAAAATCTACCCTTGCTTCCAGATCTTGCATCCTTTTTGTTCTAGCATCTCTTGAAATAAAAATGTCTGTGCAAATACTGGGGTCATCCTATTTAGTGGAATTGGGATTTTAGTCCCATTAAACCCATTTTTAACTTGTGCCTGGCAAGTAACTTTTCACTGTTTTTTTCTAAATGTGTTATTAAACTCAGCTGGTTAGTTATCATTGTCTTCATGGACTGTTCCAACCTTTGACTTACAACTGTGTGCTCAAGTGATGTAGATCACCATGTGACTATTGTCAGTGGAATCTGAAGTTATCTGTGGAGGAATGCTGGTGATGGCTCCCACCTTGAATACACTGTAGCTCATCTACCCTCATAGCCATTAATCAAGTGCGTACAGAATCTAATATCCTTAGGACATTGTTTCTCATGACCAAAGATGGCACACTTCTGCGCTTCAGACTTTGCATTCTATTTATTAACTTACAGAGCAATGAATCCAACAGGTAGTGGTGGTGAAATGGGGTGAAATGGCTACACAAAAGTCTGTACAGAAGGGTTGGATCAGACACAGCATGAGGTAAAAATGCTTTTATGAGGAGAGTTTCAGGAGTTACCTAGAGAGAGGCCAAAATGGTAAAGGGAACTGAGGCTTGGGTTAGATACATTCACAGGTACTTTTAGTGGTTGAGGGTGTCTAGTCTAAAGGCTATATCAAACCATGCTTTTGAAGATCAAGACATTAGGAAGCTGTATTGTACTGCATTTAATTAATGCATAGGTTGACTCTTCTTCTCTTATTGATTGCATTATCTTTTTAAATAGATGCAAAAAGCCGGGATATCTCTAATGCATACTCACTTCAGTCATTTCTCTTGGGTTAGTAAGTGCTATGAGCATCTTTGTTACTGTTGCTTAATTCCTTCTCTATCTAAAACTTTTAAGTTAATGAACTTCCTTGGGGTTTGTTTGTGTTTTGGGGTTTTGTTTGTTTAACTTCCAGCACAGCAGACTTAAAAAATTATGTTGTTTTCAGCTTCATTATCTCTTTGTTTTGCACTCCGACTCTTGTGTCTTTCTTCACATGCCATCCCTGGGACAACAACCTTTGTTAAGGGTGTCTCAACTTCCTCTGTTGTTGATGTATTTCTCTAAAATCAGCTTTCTTTCTAGCTGTTCAGGTCGTGGGACTTGACTTGCCTCTTACTGGAGGGAAAAAAAGTGTGGGGTAGACAGACTTGACTTCAAATCTGTGCTGCTAGCTTCCTTAAAAGTGGTCTGGCCACATCAGTGTTTAAAATGGCGTTAGTAACACTACCGTATTTCATAGTAGTTATGCTGTTTGATCCATTCTCTAGGTAATTACAGACACCATCTGAATGTTCACAGAGGCTTTTGCCAAACTACCTTTCTCTCCATGGCTTTTCCCAGGTTGCCTGTTATCTGAGGTGGTTCTTTACATCAACTTGGCTGAAGAAATAACCATTGATATTTCTGTGTATTTTCCTGCAGATCTTGTAAGTACCCGCACAACATCATCAATGCTGAGAACAAAAAAGTTCTAAAGACCCATGAGTTGTCTAGCCTTGATGAGAATGAGCTGCGAGTCCTGCTTCTCCAAAATGACCCTTTCCTCCTCCCTGATGTGAGTTATACCAATTTCTTAAGAGAAGCTTTTGTTCATTTGGCATGGGATAGGGGCAGAGAATGTGGAATTCTGATCTCGATTTCAAGCTGTTAAGACATGTAACAGTAATGCCAGGGTTAGTCTGAATGAAGTAGGAATGGGAATGGCTGGGTGTGAAAGCACCAGAAGAAACAATATAGAGCCGGGGCTGTGAAAGTGCCAAGTACTTGTAATGAAAAAAAGCCAAAAACCAGCAATAAATATGCTAAATGCTGAGGAATGTGTTGCTTATGTAAATACCAGAAAGCTCACACCTGGATAAAGCCATGTCATCTGTGACTTGTCAGCAGAAGACATGCTCTCTGACAGTGGGAAGTGGACAACTATGGCCTGTTTTGTGTGCCGCTCCTGTTATCCCAACAGGATAGTTATAAAGTTACTCCAAACAAACAAGCAAAAACCATCAGCAACTTCACCAGAGATTTACAGATGGTGAGGTAAGCAAGCTGGAGGTGAAAGATCACAATAATTGTTTGTGTTTACAGGAGAAAAGGCCTAACCAAAACCCAGTTTGTTGGCTTTTCTCTGAGTTGTGATGGAGACCAGAAGGCAGGGGCCCCTTTCCTTTTCCAGCCTATGTAGGCCTGCACATTTTGGTGCTTGAGGATATAGGGGAGTGAGAAAAATCTGTGAGAAAAAGACCAAATGACTGCAGTCAGTTCTGTGTGAAATCTGCCCCTTCTAAACTGCACTGAGGTTTTGTGTACTAATTTTTTACAAGGCACCTTTGTTTGGTTTGTATGCAAGTCACTGGTTTTGATAAATTTGTCTGACAATCCTTTGTGGTTCTGCATGTGTGTGTAAGGGCAATGGTATCTTCAAGGTATGTCTGTTTCAAAGCCAAGAATATCCTGTTCCAGCTACAACTGTTCCTGGTTAAGAAATTACCAGAGTACTGCCTGTTACCTTTGTCTTTTGGAGGTTATAATCTCCACAGATATGTTGGCCTAACACTTCTATTGCTTTCTTATTCCCTGCTGCGACAGTACTGGGCTTTGACAAAATAGATCCTTTCTTGGTTTTTAATAGTGTTTTAAAATACGTTATGCTGGCTGTTTCAAGGAGCATGGTGGTGATGAGCAAGGAGGATCAACAAAATCTTTGCTCACTCAGCTGCATCTAAAACTTGTGTTACTTGATTAATTACTTCCAGTAATGACCAGAGAGTTGCAACAATCACTGACTGGTGTTACTTTTAAGCCCTTTTCTATAGCTCTGTTCAGCCTTCGGTGCAGTCAGGCATCACTGATTACCTCTAACTGAGCACCTAAACTCCTATTACAAAGTAGAATAGCAGAAGACAGTGATCACGTAGGCTATTCATAAACCTGAGAGCTGGGAAAAAGGGACATGAGAGCCCACTTGGTTGTTTAGAAATGTTGACTGGCTCCGTGTGTATGCTGTGTTTGTGGGAGCTGGGTCTGTTTAGTTTGGAGAAGTGAAGGCTCAGGGGGATCTCATCTATGTTTACAAACACATGAAGGGGAGTGTGTAAAAAGCACAGAAGTGGTTTTTCTTCAGTGGTGCCCAGAACCGAAAGTGATGGGCACAAACTGAAACACAGGAGGATCCCTCTGAACATCAGAAAATGTTTTTTTACTATGAGGGTGACTGAACGCTGACACAGGTTTCCCAGAGAGGTTGTGGAGTCTCCACCCTTGTTGATACTCAAAACCCATCTGGACACAGTCCTGGGCTGTAGCTGGCCCCACAGGAATATCTCTGCTCAGGCACCTTGAGTACCTCCCCTTGCTCATTCTTCTCACCTTGGTGTCTGCAGGGGTTTGTTTGTTTTTAATAGAATAACTGTAAACCAGTCAGTTGTTATGTGACTGTCTTGTTTAGGAGTGCCAAGAATGAATGCTTGTTGGATTGGCTTTTCTTGAGGGGAAAAGAAACCCAAACCAAAAGTGAAACCCCACTTATGCACAACTTCAAAACCAGAAGTGCATGAGTCAGCTGAAAATGCCTACTCTTCCATACAAGAAATCTGCCTAGATTAAAGAAGTCACACTGAAAACATGCCTTTTTGCCACTGTATTTCTGCTGTTAGAACTGCATGTCTACAGAAGAAAGAAAAACAATACTGATTCTAATGTGATTCTAGTGGAATTACTGTTTCCATTTCATATTATATCTGTCATCCTTCTTCTAGATCTGCTACCTTTACAACAGAAAGGATAGTAACTGCAGCCAGCAAAATAACTGCAACAAGCTTCATGTTTGTCGACACTTTCTCCAAGGGGAATGTAGATTTACTTGGTGCAAGAGGTCCCATAACCTCTTGGATACTGATTCATTGAGAGTGTTAGAAACCGGAGGCATTGATGCGAAGATAGCTTCAAACATGCAGACTATATGTAATCACAAGCACATGGAATTCGTCAAGGAATCAAAGAAGGGGAAAGGTAAGTTGTAAGAAATATCATCCTCGATACACAAATTGGGATGTTACCAGTTAGCTCGGTTTCTGGTCCAGCAGTGCTGTTCATTCAGTCTTCTCATGCAGGTCCCAGAAGCCATGCACCTGGTCAGCAACAACACCAGATTCCAACAGGAACTGAAGGTAGAGATGGAGGTATGGATTGTTTCTAACCTTCCAGTTCTGGGATCAGTGGTTCTCATTGGGATCTGTTTTCTTACAGTCCCACAGCTCCCTGTGGTAGTTGGAGTGCAGCTTATGTGCTTACCCCACCAGATGCTGAAAACCATAGTACTGGACAGCCTGTGGAGGAGTCTTGGGAAATCTGCCCAAGTATTGTGCAGCACAATGGGGAGTGGTCTGAGATTGGTCTCTGTCCTGTTCTGAACACATCATTTGCTTCCTGGGAAGGAGACAGAGTTGTGTACCTGTGAGAGAGATCTTCCCTTGCCTTCTGTCCCTAGGGAATGGATATAGCTTTGCCAGTTGAGCAGTTGTCTTGATATACCTTCCAGTGAGGGAACAGGAACTCCTAAATCTCTTGTCCTCCTGAGCAGAAGGGCCTTGTCTTTAAAACCTGTCAGAGTCCAATACTCTCAGCAGGTTTTTTTAGATGTTCCATGCATGGAGAGTGTGATGATTAATATCAAATTTACTTATTTGAAGATAGTTGCCATTACATGGGTGTTGTGGGCTATCCCAGTGGGCAGCTGGGCAACACAGAGGCACACGCTCACTTCCACCTCACTGCTTGTGGATCAGGGGAAGAGGAAAAAAAGAAAGCAACAACAAGAAAACCTGAGAGTCAAGAACAGGAGAAAGCGAAGGCTAAGTGGAAGAAATAAGAAAACGAAGCAAAACAAGTGATGCAAAGGCAATCACCACCTCCCACAGATAGGCTGATGCCCAGCCAGTTGCCAAGCAAATGATAACTAACCCTCCTAAAACACCTCTTTTTCACTTTTATTGCTGAGCATAGTGTTATATCAAATATTTCTTTGGTTAGTTTGGGTCTTCCCAGGTGTGTCCCCTTCCAACCTACTGGGCACCCCCTAGTCAATTCAGTGGGGGGCAGGGTGAGAAACAGAGAAGGCCTTGATGCTGTGCAAACATTGTTCAGCAGAAGCTAGATCATCAGTGTGTTATTAGCATTGTTTTGGTCAAAAATCTAAAACACAGCATTATATGAGCTGTTATGAAAAAATTATCCTACCCTGGCCCAGTACAATGATATTTCTGATGTAGCAGAGTAATGCAAAACACACTGAAAACAAAATAGAAATGTGAAGTTACACTTACGAAAACAGCAATTACAATACACAGTTCAGTCAATACCAATGCGATTCCCCTACTGGTCTGTGTAGTATGCTCACTGTCATGATGCTGGGTGTTCCTAGTCCCTGGGAAGGAATATGTGGGCTGAAGCCAGCTCTAGGCCATTGTTCTCCTTGGAATTCTTTTGTTAATAGCTTAATTTTTATACCCCTGTATTGGGCTGAGCCCGCTGTTCACTCCCCTCATGCTGGTCTGGCTAATTCGGAGAGAAACATTTACATCACCAAATTCACTCAGCTGACATAGCCCTTTATGTACAGCAAAGACCACCCTTTGGTCCCCTTTGTGTTGAGAAAAAGTCAGCTTCTTTGCAGCAGCCATGGTCAGTCACACCCTGTGTTACTCTCTATGCTTCATGACGTTGCCCTTGCCCATTTCTGCTGAGACTTTTCCCACTGTAGGGGTTCATTGGTCAGTCACAAAGCCCTAACTTTTGTGGTGGGGCTTCATGTATGTGGGATAGTTGGATCTTGAAAGTGCTTGACTTGGCTACTACAGTCAACTCCTTGTTATTTCTGGGGTGAAATACCAAATGCAGTGTCTTTGTCTTAGACATCTTGGTCTATTTTGATAGGGCAAATAAGGATTGATGTGTTCTTTCCTATAGATAAAAAAGGTGATTCCTCTTCTGAAGCTCCAAAGGACAACAAAGAAGATAAATGTGATCAGATATGTGTGTTCTATGTCTGGAAGTACTGCAAACATAAAGGTAAGCTTTGTAAAAAGTATTGTTATCTCTGGAGAGCAGTCTGCAGAGGGACTCCCCACTCATATGGCAATAGCAGTGCCATATGGAGTGGCAATTCTGCCCTCTCATTTGCTTTGTTTCCAAGTCACTAATAAACACTGTTAGAATTACAGACATAATCAGTGGGAAGTCAGGTGGGTATATTAAACCCTTTCTCCTCTAGATGATCCATCTATGGCTTGTTTCAGCCCTGTTGATGGGGGCAGGCTTTGTGTGTATTTCTGGGGCAAAACCCCTTCAAATGTTAAATGTTACACTTTCTGTAACTATCAAATCAATTTAAGAGCTTTTCTTATGTTGTCATCATTGACAACTGGTAACTGTAGGTCATCCTTTATTCTTGCGTACATCAGATAGAAGTGATGCTCTTCCCTATTTAGTCCTTTTTAAAGTGATCTGAGGTGTTAAAATGTCTTAAGAAAGCATAGTAGTTGTACCAGCTAAGCTGAAAGTAAATCTAGTCCATTGTCTATTTGGCAGTGCCCAGTAGCAGAGGTCTGAGGGAAATTGCAAGTATAACAATTGTATCTGGGGGCTGTCCCTGACAGTTGCTTACAGAACCCCGGGTTAGGCTCTTCATTGGTTATGAGGAGGTACCATGGGATTTTCTTTCACTGAGCTTCTCCAGTCACTTTCTAAAGGACTACTTCTTTTCTGACTGCCTGGTCTTGGTAAAAGATCCACTTAAATAGATCAGACCGTGTTTGCTTTCACTTTGGATGTGGACAATAAGTTGCCTGATAACTGTTCGGTCTGAGATGTTTGTGTGCATTTAGCATTTCTGTAGAGTGTGTGTTCTGGTAAAGATGCCATTCTCCTGTCAGTATCTCCTTTTCTGAGATGCAGATGAGTAAGTTACTTTAGGGTTTGACAATACCTTTTCTTAATCATTACTTTGAAGAGATACAGCACTTTGAAAAATAAATTCTCTCTTTTATGGGCAATTTATGGTTAATAGAAATAAAATCTGGCCAAGAGAGACCAAGTGTGGTTTTGTCTGCAGCATGCCAAGTTAATTTAAGCAAACTGCTTTCAAGACAGGGTGAACTCCAGCTCTGTTAACTAAAAAGAAAGAAGAAAGGAGTGAAAGACACTGTTGTCTTCATAACTGGGTTTAATTTCCATATGTTCTGTGGTCAGATACATCAGAGGTCATGAATGGTGAAAATCCTTTTGTCTCTATCTGTACAGCAGCTACTCCAGCCTTGTGTCAGATTTCTCAGACTCTCTGCTTGGTTAGGACCAGGCTTGAGGCTTAAGTTTATCAGCCTTTTGACCTGCATGATGTCAATGGTGTACCCGTGTGCTGGCTGTAGAGGTCAGGCTCAAAGCAGCTATATTGTGACCACCAAATAGCTAAACTCAAGTAACAGTTGGAGGGTTAGTGTGCTATGCCGTGCCATGTTTGGCTCAAAAGTGGTAAATAAGAGGTTTGGTCCATACCTGGATGTGGAGTATCAGAGGCTTGGAGGTCAGTCTCTCCCTGTATCCAGCAACATGCACTGTGCAGGGGTGTTAAGCGGATCTGGACTCAAACATGCAGACATATATGCATTGGAAAACAGATGATTTAAAAAATCCCAGAAGTCTTCCTCTCCCTGTGTGAATGGTATATAGCACAGCTGCAGGTCTTGCGTGCAAGGCAGTTAAGAATTGATCCTTCCTATTTTCTGAGAAGCAAAGCAACAATTCCAACAGTGCCTGGCAGTCTTGTTAGTGGGGGAGCATGCTATCTGTTCAGCGGTGAGTGTAAGGTCCCTTTTGGGAGATGTTCTATGGAGTATTGCAGTCCTTTATGCTGCCTCATTCATTGGGCTTGGCCTGAAAAAAAAAACATGCAGATTTTGATAACCATCCCATATGTTCTAAAGGAAAGAGAAAACCAAATATATCGAGTGTTCATGTGGCATGTAGACTAGAGGTTTTATGGCTGAGAAACGTGGTGGTGTGACCCATAGACTCGCGCTTGCTGTCTGTGGCACTGCTCTCCCAGCTGCCAATGTTGAGTTTCAGCAAAGGGAAGGTTGTGGTTTCTTTGGAATATATTTAGCAGTATGAGAGCTTATGTTGCTTTTCCAGGTAAGACTGGAGATACCCCTATAGTTCAAATATATTTCTATTTTCAGCACTCTGTCTTTATTGCTTGTACCAAAGCCCAGGAGATAAAGCCAAGAGTAAAAAATGCTTGTTCCTTCCCTCCACACCCTGCCTTGTCTCACTCTCTGTTATGATTGCAGAGCTCTTGACTGTGTCTGATCTTATTACAGATAAATGCAGATTTGTTCATTACCACTTGCCGTATCGATGGCAGGTATATAATGGGGTGACCTGGAATGACCTCTCCATGATGGAGGAAATTGAAAAGGCCTATTGTGACCCACACACCAGCAGGTATAGTGATGTTGCACTGCTTGGTTAGAGTTCTGCGGTTGAGACCTGGAGGAAAACGTCTTTGAGTTCTTCCTAAAGGTGTCTGACCTCCATAACTTTTGATTACTGAGCTGCTCAGGATCTGGGAGGATGTACAAATAAGAATTGTTCTTCTTAAAAAGAAAAGTAAAAGTGATTGCATGGAAGTATCACCCCATTTTTGTCTTCTAAAAGTAACAAAACTATCTTGCATTTAAAACTCAAGGGTAAAAAGAAGCGGATGGAATTTAGTGCTTAGAATATTAGTATTTCAGATAATGAATCATACTTTATAATAACTTAAGTTGTGCCTTTCAATAGCAGTTCAGAGCTGGTCCTTCTCTATGGCTATTCCTTTCCCAATACAGCTAGTATCTATAATAATATCTATAATACGCCTAGAGAAATTTTATTAAATGCTCCTTTGTGTAAGCAGCCCATTGGATTTTTTTTAAGAGAGCACATTTTCCCTTTAACTCCTTTCTGAAAGCCCCCCTTTAAGCCCTGTGGATTCATAGGGGACTCCAAGTTTGGCCTCAATAAAATGGTATAGGCGTTTTGGCCTGTGCATCTTCTGACAGCAGATGATTTTGATTTGCTTCTCGATAAGGCCACTGGATGGTACAAATCACAAACAAGATTCCCAGCAAGAGGCTGCTTTCGAGGTCTTTTTGCCTGAGAGTTAATTTTTCAAGGCTTCCAGGAGTAAGAGCCCAGGTGGCTCCAGTGATGAACGCTATTTACAGAACTTGCAGCTGGACTGCATCCTCCTCTGTAGCTACATTAAAAACAAAGCTGATATGCTGCAGGTATTTGCTGGCAACTCAGGCAGGTACTTACCAACTTCCATTTGTGTAATGAGAAAAACTAAACATGATACTTATTTCAGAAGTACTCTTTGACACATTGTATGTGTAGCCCCAGGCTGTCTGTAAAGCTGGCAATGCAGCATGTGGCTGGTGATTGAGATGGCATTTGGTGTCTCACAGGCCATAGTTCACTTCTGAAGATTGGAAACAGTTTTCAGAGCTGCCATGCATGCTGTGGGAAATACTCATATTTCAGGCCTATTAAGTTCAGGCAGTCACATTATATTAAAGAAAATTCCACCATCTTATACTGGGGATTAAAGGCTAATATATATACTGTTAACTACAATAAACCTGATTTTGTCCTTACAGATTCATGAATAAGAACATTCATTTCCAGACAATGACCTGCTGCTCTTCTTTGGTTCGACGCCTCTCTACACCATCATCAGTCACAAAACCCACATTTGTATTGACCACACAGTGGCTTTGGTATTGGAAGAATGACAAAGGCCAGTGGATTGAATATGGAGAGCAGGTGACTCCACATCCTGTGCCAGGAATCACTTCTGAAGAAATGGGTGGAGCCTCTTTCCTCTCTTCCCTTTTACTCAGCAGGGTTAATTAAGTAAATACTTATGCTTGAATGTTATCGTGTCAAGTAAGGCAGTAAAGCTACAGATAAACATAACAGATGTGATGAAATGGTGATAGGCTGTGGGGGAGGGAACATACCTTATCTCCTTGCAGTGAGGTTCAGAATGAACTTTTTACATATTGTACATTGTTTTGTACATTAGAGAATTATACTTGCATTGTGGTTTAACCCTGGTGTCATGGAGCAGATTTAGGATCTGCTGACTATGCCAGCTTGTTGTGGGGGAGATTTTAGACCATTTAAAGAATGAATGCCAACGGAAGCAGCAAAGGTTTTTTTTTGTAGTAGGCTGTTGTAAAAGTAAGACAGGAAAGCCCCAGTGGCAAGGTTTACTCTGCTTATTTCACAGAGAACATAAAATAACTCAAAGTTACTAAAATAAATCTTAGTACACTGTAATACAAGGTTATGCACTATTTAGGTCACTTACCAAAGGTCTGCAGTTGGTAAGGGGTCTTTCAACCTTGAGGACTAACCTGGAGAGTTGTCCCAGCTCAAGGGGACATCACTCCTTTGGAGCCTGCTTCTTAGCAGAGAGAGCTCAAACAGAGCTCACTCAGGCTGTTGTATTTATGAAATGAAGTGGTTGGCTCATAGTCAAATTACATGTGATGAAAAAGTTAAACATGAGACTCCTCGTACCTGCAATTTTCTTTGTTTCTTGACAAATTAGCCTTGGAAGAACCACCTGCTATTCATGTGTTAATCACATGATCGATGTTCCAGTTCCCAGGCTCATACATCAATGCTCACTCACCATGTCACATTGTTCCTGTGAGTGTTTTCTAGGAACAGGTTGGAACTAGAGAAGGTCATGTTCCGGTTACAGCCTGGACCTTGACTTCCTTTGGAGCCTGAACCAAAATACCACCAGTTTGGTCAAGGAGTCAAGTGCATCCATCACACCCAGCTGGCAATTAAGGACCACAGAGCTGCTCAACCCCATCCCCAGTGGGACTGGGGAGAAAATTGAAAGGGTAAAAGTGAGAAAACTCACAGGTTGAGATAAAGCCAGTTTAATAGGTAAAGTAAAACTTGCACACAAAAGCAAAGCAAGGAGTTCATTCACCACTTCCTGATAGCATTCAGCAATAGCTAAAATGTCCCTGTGTTATCAAACTGTTCCCAGCACAAATCCAAAACATAGCCTCATACTAGGTACTATGAAGAAATTTAACTCTTTAGCAGCCAAAACCAGCACAACTTGTTACAGGAGTTTAAATGGGATACATATGTGTCCATCATTACTCATAACGTATTTGTGTGCATGTTAGGAGTGTTTGGTTATCATGCCAAACGTAGATTCCTTTTCATCCTACTCTTTGCGTCTTCTCTCCCTCTACGCAGACTAGTTATCCAGGCCTTAGTCCTGACTGTGTTCACTCATTTCTCTCTCTCTTTTTTCTCTTTTTCCCCACAAAGGGAGAAGGGGATAGTGTGAGCTCACCATCTTCTGCTATTATTGAGAATTTGTATCTAGCAGATCCAGATGGCATCATATCTTTCCAGGCTGGCTTGTATAATTACAAGCTCGATTTTAAAGGTACTCATTTTAAAGGTTCTTACTTATAACTATGAAGTGCTTTATAAAGGTTAACTTGCAAGCTATCCCAGCTTTTAGAAGCCATAATTTGTTTTACTAACACTACCAGATTTACTCACTGGAATGGGAAGTGAGGTAGTGATGGTCCAGAGGAAAGTCCTTATAAAAGTAACCTTCCCCCTTATTCCTTGACACTATCCAGACTCACACTGGACCAGAAATAAAAAAGATTCTTAGTCTTCACATAAAGTCATAGTAAACCTTAAGTAAAGTAAGTTAACCCTATGACTGCTATAGCTGAACCTAGGACACTCTGGATGGTAAAAATGAAAAATAAGCATCTTTCTCTGCCACTGCAGCAACACTTAAAAAGCATGAATGACTTTGGGAAGCCAGCAAGACAGACACAGGTTAAATAAGAGTTACAGGAAGGACAGGAAGCTTACACAGGCCACCATTCTTCAGCAGCTAGAATTGACAATGAATATACACTTTTAATTAATGAATAATTGTCATTAATTAATGACCCCATCTTGTAGACTTATTTGTGACTTTTTCCTTCCCTTTTCTCCTCAAGAGATGACCCAGACAAACACCTCTTACAAAACTAAAAGACAGGTCTGCAGGCGACCAAAGTTCGTGTCTTCTGAAGATGTGCAGAAGATAAAGAAAGGGTAAGTGATGCACTTTAAGTTGCTGGATTTTCATATTTCAGGAGTAATTATAAGGCAAAATGGCTTTCAGTGTTGGCAGTAATTGTGTGAAGAACAGAGCTGTTGCTAGAAAGAAACATACCCATTTGACTGAGCAGAAGCTGTATCACAAACTGCCAGCTTGGTGCATGACCTGTTTTTTGGTGTACATGTTACTCCAGGTACCATGTCCACAGGGCTGGTGATGGACAGTTGTTCATTAAAAAAGCAAGTGAAAGAGGACTGTGACAACTGAGTGGCAGCATGCAAAGCCCAGCTCACAGACTGAGGCTGTTTCCCAGGGATTTTGTGGGTTATTTCGTGTATTTGTAAATGTAGGAAATGGCCAAAGGGGATGCTGCCAGTTCAAATGTTTGAAGAAGTACTAGACTCACTAACACCTCATTTTCTGTCTGTTTGCCAACAGCCAGAGGGATTCTTCTATTCCAAATCAGTCCTGTCCTGACCACTGGGATCAATCTGCACTGCCTGACTTCGGATACAAGGTATCTTCTTCCCCTCACTTCACTTCCTACTTTTTCTCCTTTGTAATTCTGATGGAAAGGCATGATTCAAAGGAGCATGCTGCTTAACTGAAGCAATTGTAACTGAATAGATGCTAAAAAGGGACAGGAGTGATTTCTTGGGTGGGTGTGCTAAAGAACTAGGTGATCTTGCAGAAGCTCATGAAAAAAGGTGCCAAATTCCTGTGAACTTCAGCGGCATTTTAGGTATCTATCTACATGCAAAACCAAACCTCATCAAATTCAGTACAAAAAGATTCACTATTAAAAAGGAAAAAATGCCTTACTTTCATGACTTAGTGGGCCAGTTAAACAAGGGATTTCTATGAAATGTGTGTTCCTTCACTAGAAGCTGGGCTGAGACCAAACTCTTCCTGTGCAGGCCATTAAAAAGCCATCCAATAATAATAATACCATCATGGCTGTTGATGGATGAAGTTTGGATTGGAGATGTAGGAAAGGAAATCCCTGTATGCTCTTTGAAGTCACCCAGTACTGTCATGTACATCACAGATGTGAGCGCAGACCATGGCCTCAAGGAAGGGCAGAAGTAGAGTTACAGTCAGTAGTATCAACAAACTGTTTGCAGTGATCTCTTCAACAAACCAAACCCCTATCAGCCCAAGGTCTAGGTTTCTATTTGGTCTACCAAGAACAAAAATGCTCAGGTGTTTATAAATATTAGTAATTTTTAGTTTTGGTAATTTTTTAAATTGGTAGGTCTAATGGTATTAAGAAGCAGTCAACACAGACTGTGGAACTACTAGAATGCTAGGAAAAAAGGCTTTTCAGTGTTACACTTGGCCTTTTTTACGGTGTTTTTGCCCCTGATTAAAGGACAGCACATAATGTGGAGCACAAGGTTTTCCTTGTTGACTGTGTCAAAGTCTTGTATGATGATGACCAAGTTGTATTGGCACAGGTATCTTGATTACTAGGGACAGGACAGAAGTATCATATTTCCCAACTGGGAATTCTTTCTGTCTAGGTTCAGTTAATGGAGAGCTCCATTGCTATTCTCACTCTTTGCATTTTATTTTCCCTAGTGTAGTTACATTGGCAGCAGCATGAGAACCAGAAAATCTTGTCTCTGAGCTTCTGTTACTGGCTGGTTTTTGTTGCTCTGCTTTGTGCTGAATGTTCCATTTTACCCTGATTACCCTCTTGTGTTGGATTATGCCTTAGTGTAACTCCTGTATCTGGCTATGTGCATGTAGCAAATTCATCTAAACCCAGTCCTAATGAAAAATGAGCAGGTAAAATTGAAGTCAGCTGCTGTGTACATTAGCTCACTTCAAATAGCTGGTTTTCACAATCAGCAAAACTGTGAAATTTCACAATTATAAAAGAGTCAGTGCCCAGCACCCACTGAATGAAGTAAGAAGTTGTTTGTGTGGAAATATGGCAGCCAGACCTTTTGAAGATTTGGGCCTGTGATATTTTGAGCACTGTCAAAGTAATAAAGGACATAGCTAATCAGCTCTCCCTTTGGCTTAGCTGCAGCTTAACTGATTGACATAAGCTTAAATTTTTCCAGAGAATGCCAGGAAGACAGGTAGCTCAGTTCTTTATAGGTCTCTGAGTTGTATGTGCTTGGCTGCTTCCCTTATCTACTCTGCAAACTTCAGTCTGAATTTTAGTCAAGTCCATTTGTTGGGGTGTTTCTGGAGTCACTGAGGTGAGTGTGAGATACTTTGGAACACGATGTACGGATCCAGGGTATCACTAGAGGTACTTGTAGGGAGGCGTGTGGTGGAAAGTTCATCTTGCTCCCCAGAGCTTCGTTTGCATGCTGAGTTGGTGCCTAATAAACCATCTCTTAACGTACAAACTGAGTGCCTTTCACAGGAAAGGAAAAGTTAATTCTGTCCTTAAAAAGTGACAAAGCCCACAGTACCTGTTGGCACTCCAGGTGAAAGCCTGGGCTAGATTAAATATTTCTGTGGGACTCTATGCTTGTTTTTTTTTGCAGTAGGTAATATTGGGACTGGCTGGGATTCTACATGCATGTGATGACCATCGTACGACCTGACAATTACTAATTGATGAATTCTTCAGACACTGACAAATAATCCTGCCAAAATTTGCTCCGCTGGAAGTGGTCCATTTTAAAAAGGAACACCTATGAGATAGGGAGAAAGTCATCTTTGCTTAAAAAGAGTAGTTATGTTTTGGTAACATTGCTTATTTTTTGAGTGTTGCAGTATCTTAATCTGTAAGTCATTTAGAATCATAGCTCTGTAGAAAGCAGTGTATGAAATGCCCAATGGAACTTGGGAACACCAAGTGGCAAGTTGGTGTGAATTTCTTCTGTCTTCCTGTAACAAAGTGGAACTAGTAGTCGGTAAACCTTTTAGAGAAAAAAAAAATAAAGAATTTATATTGTCTTGGAACTTCATGCCATGTTTTAAAATGTACATTTAATGTACAACTGAGAAATATGCACAATGAATGTGTGGGTTTATGTCAGAGGATCAGTCTTTGGCTGTTATGTTGTCGAATCCTACACGCGTGCCAAAGATTGCTGTGCTGTAACAGGAATGAGAGCTGATGCAATGTGGAGAGTCTATCTGTGTACTTTACAGATAGCAGTTCTTGTTGGGTTAGTGTTACTAGTACAACCTCTGCTGCTTCCAAAACCCAAGTTAACCGGAGATCAAGGTTTGATATCACAGAGTACTGTTCCTATAGTCACACACTACCAGAAATTACTGTCAGGGCAGTGATTCCTCCTCTGCCTCAGAAACTCCACTCCTTGATTGTGGGTTAGCAAATGCTTATGCTTTCTTGGTTTTTTCATTTTAGCTCTGAAGATGAAAAGAGCTCAAAAAGTTAATGTTGTTAAGAAGTACCTGATATCTGAAGGGGGGCTACAAGGGCGCTGGGGAGGGACTCTTCATCAGGGGCTGCAGCGACAGGACAAGGGGTAATGGGCTTAAACTTAAACAAGCTAAGTTCAGGTTAGATGTAAGGAAGAAGTTCTTTACTGTGAGGGTGGTGAGGCACTGGAACAGGATGCCCAAAGAAGTGGTAAATGCTCCATCCCTGGCAGTGTTCAAGCCCAGGTTGGACAGAGCCTTGGGTGACGTGGTCTAGTGTGAGGTGTCCCTGCCCGTGGCAGAAGGGTTGGAACTAGATGATCTTAAGGTCCTTTCCAACTCAAACCTCTATGACTCTATGATAGCTGTCAACCTGCAAGAGCAATGTGCTGTTACCCTTTACTAGGAGGAGAAACATCCTTGGGGAAATACGGACAATCCCACAAAGTTTTCATGCAGAAGGTAACTGGCTTGGTTGCTTGAAGTCCATCATATGATAAAATAACTGAATTACTTCTCTTACAGGATTAGGCTTTGTACCATGTGGCTGACTCCCTGTTTTACCCAGAAAAGTTACAGTTCCTCAGTAAAAGATGCAGCATAGCAAAAGTGTAATTATAGTTTAAAGAATTGTTTACGTAGGAATAAAAGATGTAGTACTGAAATATAGTGGCGTAATTTTCACCTTGTTGGGTGATGGTGAGCAACTTGAGCTGTGGTGTTATAGAGCTTGCAGATAATAAATAAGTGTCCATCCAAATTGTTTTATGTATTGCACTATGTTTTAAAAAAGCTTTTGAAAATACTCTTGTATTAAGACATGAGAAATTTAATTCAACCTTGTAAAAGATTTTAATAAATTCAAAGATTTTATTCTTCCTTGTGTAGCTGATTTTATTTTTAATCCTTAGAAGACCTTCCTATGGCAAGGCCTTTTCATCAGTAGGTCCTTAGTGCACAATCTGGACATGGTGTCCAGAAAAACATCTCTTTATTTGCATGCAGCTGTGAAATACAGGTCTGATTTTATCTCCTCTTCAAACTCAGCCTTGTAAAACATGGACATTTTGCCTGATGTTGGTAAGATCTTGGTTCCATTAAAGCAGTTTTCCTGCTTTAAACACAACTTTGATATGCGAGATGTCACCTCAAGTCCCTGCTTGGCTTAGGCAGCAGTGAAGTGGAAAGTACTGCCAAGTGACATCAGTCTACCAGCATTATGCATTTTCAGTCAAGCTTATGGAAGTGTTTATTGTAGAAGATTGAAGCACAGATTACTTCAGAGAAAAAATGGAAACTTTATGCATGACACAAGCAAGCAGAAGAGCTCCAATCATGTTTTAATTCTGTTTTGCATTAGCTCTTCTTTGGGAAAAATGTGTATTTCCTGATGGGTTTTTAAACACAAGAAGTATGGATAAATAGACTTTGTTTCCTTTAGGAAAGGAGATCTATTTGCTGAAACGGGTATTTAGTGTAACCTTCTTATTAGAATCCTAATTGTTCTCTTACGTTTAGAAATGGAGCTTTTTTTTCTTAAGTCTGCATTTAAGTGCAACTTTCCAAGTTTTAACTTTGACAAGTGAAGGAGCTGTGATCCTGGGAGGTTGTATGTATTTGTTTCACCTTTAATAGCTGAAGCTTCATTAAATGTCTGGTTACAACTGATACTGTTATCTAGCACCTTTTGTTCTACAACAGCTGTTTCACTGAGATCTAAAGTTGTGTCAACCCTTACTTGAAGGTGATGAACATTTAACTGACCCTTTCAGCATCCTTCCTGAAGAGAGGCGAGGTGTCCTTGCAGCGCAGGAGTGACACATTGGTTTACATATTAGGTGTCTGTCCTAATTAGTCACATAGTCACAATCTAAAGCATTAAGTTAACCTTCATAAGTATAGTTGGGGACTCTCTTCTGAAAGTGTACCTGCTGTAATTAGGCTTCTGCATGTTATGAGCTAACTGAAGCCTCATGTCTTCTTTTGCTTTGGTTTATATTTTATAGGCAGTGGAGATCAATGATACAACTGCTGAATACAACCAAATAAAGCAGATGTTTCATCAGACTATGAAGAAATACAGCATCCTTAAAATAAACAGGATTCAGAATCCATCCCTCTGGAAAGTGTTTCAGTGGTGAGTATTTGTTTCCTCATCCTTATTGGGGTTGAGGGGGTATCCTGGTGTCCTGTATCTGCTTCCTAGGAAAGAAAAGACGTTACCACCTGTGCTTTAACGTAACTGGTGTTTCCTTCTTCAGAGCAGTTCAAGAGTGAAACTAAGCATCAATGGCCTTCCAGAGAATGCCATGCTTCTGGGGGAAGATTCCCTTTGCATGGCTTTTTGGACAGATATGGACAGAAAGACATGAATGATGCAGAATTTGGGATGAATTGAGGATGCGCACAGTGATGCGGCATAGTGCATTGTCTCAGGGATTGAACAGGGACTGCCTGCTGCACACGTGTTCTGTCTATTACAAATGTTCATGCATTAGAGGAAGTGGGCAAGGCTAAACAGTGCTTGGGGCTTTTGTTCCAGTCAGATGTAGTGGTCTTTCTCAAGAGTACCTTTTCTGAATGAAGTCAGTATTTGCTGAGAAAGAATGCATGTGCTTTAACTTAATGATCCCTGAGATCAGAGCTCCTTTCTGGTTTTCAGCATCTGCATCAGTTCTACTGAATGCCAAGCTAGATGACAACAGATTTCAGCTGGTGCTGGTGACAATAGATGACCATGTTCAGGTTAATTTGGTAGCAGATTAAGCTGTTGAGTAGAACTGATGTCTAGTTTAAAACAAACGCACAGATACTTAGTACAAATATTCAAGGACTCTATGGAATGGTAGCAGAGAAGAAAAATACTGCTCAGATAAGCACTTTCACCTGCAACGTGACTGAACCCAGGAAGTCACCAGTTAGTAATTTCATAAAACTTTTTCATGTAGCAAAACTTAAGACACTTCAAAACATGTAGTAGTGCATACTGTTTATCCTCCCCTAATGAGATATTTAAGTTAACCAGACACAGTTTAACAAGTCCTTAATGAACAAATTCCAGTTCATTGCTCTTAACTTTTCATTTATGCAGTTTACAAGCTGGGAGGATTCTCCCCTCTCCTTGTCTCTCTTTACTGTGTAGCTGATCAGTTCCTGAAGATTATTGCTGCCTTGTCCTTCAACAGCTTCTGAAGACCTGTAAGATGTCTGGATGCTGTGAAATATTTTTGGCTTCCATTGAGATTCCTCTTTTGATACTGGTCATAGTCCAGTCTGATTCTGGCCTAAATCAGTAAAATCTTAAGTGGTGAAAAGAGGCTCAGTTTCTCTCCTTCTGGCTCTGTCTCCTCAGCCACACTGATCTCACAGAGGGGCAGGAGCTCAGGATGTATGGCATGAAGAATAAGCTGAGTCCAGCTCCTAGTTACTGCTGGGACATGGAGGGTCTGTGATTACCACCTCCACTCTGCAGAGAGTTCTGGGTGTGAAGGGATGAGACAATAAAGTAGAACTAGTAGGACCCTACAGAGGAGCAAAAGGTTGGTACAGTGGGGACTGTAGTAGTGTCAGTGCTTATTTAAATGCACTAAAGAAAGCCAGGATTATCTAGAATTGCTGGGCAGTGGTATCAGTATATTGCTTATATTGTAATTGTTCATTATACTGGTAGTCTATCTCATCTTCCAAACAGAGAGGAGAAAACAGACTGGGAATCATAGAATGGTTTGGGTTGGAAAGGACCTTAAGATCATCTAGTTCCAACCTCCCTGGCATGGGCAGGGACACCTCACACTAGACCATGTCACCCAAGGCTCTGTCCAACCTGGCCTTGAACACTGCCAGGGATGGAGCATTTACCAGTTCTTTGGGCAACCTGTTCCAGTGCTTCACCACCCTCACAGTGAAGAACTTCTTCCTTACATCTAACCTGAACTTAGCTTGTTTAAGTTTAAGCCCATTACCCCTTGTCCTGTCGCTGCAGCCCCTGATGAAGAGTCCCTCCCCAGCATCCTTGTAGGCCCCCTTCAGTTACTAGAAGGCTGCTATGAGGTCTCTTCTCCAGACTGAACAGTCCCAACTTTCTCAGCCTGTCTTCATACAGGAGGTGCTCCAGCCCCCTTATCATCCTCATAGCCTCCTCTGGACTTGCTCCAGCAGCTCCATGTCCTTTTTATGTTGAGGACACCAGAACTGTACACAATACTCCAAGTGGGGTCTCACGAGAGCAGAGTAGAGGGGCAGGATCACCTCCTTTGACCTGCTGGTCATGCTTCTTTTGATGCAGCCATGGGTATCTCATTTAGCTGATACATACATGTACATTATATACTTATTTTTAAAAATGCTTTTCTCCCTTTCCTTCCATGGTTTGCTCACTCCTCCTCTGCATTTTTCTGTTAGGCAGAAGGAACAGATGAAAAGGGAAAATGGAGGGAAGGAAGTAAATGAAAAGCTTCTTTTCCATGGAACCAACACCTCCTTCATGGAATCCATCTGTATTCACAATTTTGACTGGAGAATTTGTGGAAGCAATGGAACTCTCTATGGGAAGGGTACGTAGGAAATGACTCTGTGTGTTAGATGTCTACTTAGACTCCCCTGATACTACAGCTATCAAAGTTTTGAACTATAGAGGGTGGAAAAAGAGGAAGGTGATAGTAGTATGATCTTCCTTCCCTCTGGGGATGACAAGGATTTGCTTCGAGCAGGGTTAAGTCTTTTCCTAAGATGTTAAGAGAATTAGCGTAGGGATTTGGAAAAGCCTCTGTTGCTGTAGGTGAGATCTGCTGAAGGCTGAAGGTCATAATTGGAACTTGCCAGAGAAACGTCTGCTAGGCCTCATGGCAGGAAGCAAGAAGGGCGTGCATTCCCTCAGCAGGATTGTGGAAGGTCCTCATGTTTTCCTGTCTATCCCCATCGTAACACACACACCTATAGTGATTTTATGTTTTGTTTTTTAAAAATCTGATTCCTGTAGTAGCAAATTCCAGTGGAAATCATGTGTAGAAATCCCTTCTCTTGTAAAAATTTCTATGGGATTATGTAAACTGAGTGAGACCTGAAAGTTGGGGTGAATACCTCCTGAAAAACAAGGGGATGCTCAGTTTTCACTGTCCCTTTATATATATTCCTTATAATCACGTTTTCATATTATTTTCTAGGAAGCTACTTTGCTAGAGATGCTTCCTATTCCCACTCATACTGTCAGCCTATGGTGAAAAACAACATCATGTTCGTGGCTCGTGTGTTGGTTGGAGACTACGTTAACGGCAACACAGCCTATGTGCGCCCCCCAACAAAGTCTGCTGATGGGCTCCGGTTTTATGACAGTTGTGTAGACAATGAGACAAATCCCTCCATTTTTGTTGTCTTTGAAAAATACCAAATTTACCCAGAGTATACAATAGAGTATAAAGAGGAAGAAAAAAAATGTATTGTATCTTAAAGGGATCAGAGCTGTTTGTATCCCTTGTCTTATTTTCTGTATTGCAGGTGTTCTCATACTTGTCAACTTTTTTTTGCTACAATTCTTTGGAATGTTAATCCAAGGAATTTCTGTATTGAGGAGGGCTGGCAAAGCAGATGTTACATTTGTTGAGACATTGCCTTGTCTTCTCCTTTTCCTCTCTTAAATCAAGTTTAGACATTTAAATAACCGTAGCAGAAAAATCAGAATTGTGGGATGGGAAATTGAGTGTTTCAACTTCTGTGGGCAAATAATTATAAATGCATTTTCTTAGAGAGTATTTCTCTTTGACAACATTTCAGTTAAGAGAAGAATTAACAGTACAGTCGTTTTTAAGCAAGCTGTCAGGTTTCTAGTAACCGAAGATTCTTTCCATTGCAGAATACAGTTGTTCTTGATCCTCTCATCTATAGCAATTCTAAACAAGCCAGTTTTCAAAGTGCCACTTGTTAATGCTGATACAAGTTTCAAGTTTAAAGTTCTCAAGTGGAGAAATTTCATCTGTACAACGGCAGCTAGTGTTTGGATCAGAAAGTGGTTGGCTCAGATTCTCTTTGCAGATCTGCAGTAACTTGCTGTGTGACCTGTATAAAAATAGAGATCAAGTTAAACTGAAAATTCTAGTCTATGAATAAGTAGGTACTAAAATGTGGTGGTTTGGCTGCAACTAATGGCCTTAAGTATATAAAAGCTGTGTCACAAAAAGCCAGGCTCTCAAGTCAATGTGGCCACCTATTTCCTCAATGCTTAGCAAATGCATATAGGACAGGAGAAACATCTCAAGAAGCAGAAGTATTTCCTGCCCTAATTCTAGACATTAATTTTTATTTTTTCATAATTATGACATGACTGGAAGAACCCTGTTATATCCTCTGGAGGCCAGTGGTAGAGCTGCTGTTCTAAGATACGTATTTTGTTACTCGCGTTGCGTGGGGCAACTTGCTGACAAGCATAGCTCCTCTTTGTAGCTGTGGTGATCCTGCATACTGCTTCTCTGAGTCTGTGATAAATGTGCCTTGCCTCCATCAGTGATGTACAACCCCTGCAACAGTGGTTATGCCTTTTACAAAGTTACATGCTTTTTATTGTCCCCAAAAGAAAATGCAGAAACTCATGGAGTTTCTACTGAATCTTAATAAGGAGTTTGTAAGTTAATGGAACTTAAAAGCCTCTGTACAAAGATGCCTTCTTCTGGCAGTCTAGCTGTTAAGAGGGAAACCATTGCCAAGGATAGAGGAGCAGCAACTTTTGCTTTCAGGTAAGCTTTACAGTAACACGAATAGCCTCTCACTTACTTGCATCTTCAACAGAAATCTGTCAACCACATGTACTACTCAAAGTTTACAAATTACCTGGAGGACAGGAAAATATATAAAACTAGGAAATCTTACTAAGATTACTGTCTTGAAACTAAATGAAAACCTGTGTCAGTAATGCATTAAAAAGGGAAGATTCTACCACTTTTGAAGAGCTCTTTCACATTTTTCTGTAGAGTTCCCGAATCATTTAGCTTTGCCATATCTGCAAATAAAATGTTTTCATTCACTTTTTGCTTGTTAGTGTGCAACTTCTCTCCATATGTAAACTTAAGTCTTCCTTTCATCTGTGTTTCTAAACCAGGGAATTGCCTGGATATAGTTTTTGCATTTTAGTGTCGATGCTTAGCTAAGCAGGAAGGATAGAGTAGAGTACAGTCTCATTCATGGAGAGTATTTCTGTAAAGAAACTTCCTAAGATACTTCTAATAAATTCTAAGTGCTGTGATAGTTTAGTTGGATTCTATGTAAATAAATAGCTGCTCTAAGCAGTTGCTAGAAGTCCTAAGAAAAGGGAAAGAAGGTGGTGAGGTAGTAGCAGAACTACTGTTTTAAATATGTTGTAGTCATCAGACTACTACTTTTTTGAATATCTAGATGAGTAACTTAAAGAATCAGAACTGAGCACCTGTAAGACACAGTGCTGCGTTTCCCCACCTGTGTTAGATGGGCCTAACACTGTGGAATTGGTCCATGGTGGACCACTCCAATCATCTAGAGTGACTGTGCATGGCAAAGAGCCAATGAGGCCACTCCTCCTGGCGCAGACTGGCCTCCTGCATCAGAATGAGTGTACGTGGGGAAAAAAAAGAGCCAACAAGGCCACTCCTCCTGGCACAGGCTGGCCCCCCGCGTCAGGATGAGTTGGCACTTTTTGGCATATAAAAGGCCCGGGGTTCAAGAGAGATCAAGAAGGGGGTGGATCCAACTACCTTTTATGGTTGACATTACCTCTGCGGGGACGTCCGCAAAAGTATGTGCCTGCCACCCCGTTTCTACACAATGCTCCTTGGAGCTGGCCTCCTGGTCACTGGACAATTGTGTGGGTTGGTAAGAATCTGTGCCTAATCTGTTCTTTGGTAGCCTTTAGTTATCTCTCTTTCTAGCTTGGTATATCTCTGGATCTTGTAATAAACTTTCTAGCAGTTTGGTGTGTGTGTGTGTGGCTTATGTTCCTTCTCCACCCGGAATCCTTCGATCCCTGGAACACCACCCCTGTGAGCTGAGACAGGCAAGTATATGGAGAATACTGGTGAGATCCTGACAGCTTAAAACTCCCCCTATAATCCTGCATCCAGCTCTGGGGCCCCCAACACAAGGGGGATGTGGAACTGTAGGAACCAGGTCCAGAGGCGGCCACAGAGATGATCTGAGAACTGGAGCACCTCTGCTGTGAAGACAGGCTGAGAGAGCTGGGCTTGTTCAGCCTGGAGAAGGCTCTGGGGAAAGCTTAGAGCAGCTTCAAGTGCCTAAAGGGGCTACAAGAAAGCTAGAGAGGGACTTTTTACAAGGACATGTAGTGACAGGACAAGGGGGAATAGCTTTAAAGTGACAGAGGGGAGATTTAGATCAGACATTAGGAAGAAGTCCTTTATTGTGAGGGCAGTGAGCCACTGGAACAGGTTGCCCAGAGACGTTGTGGCTGCTGGATAGGGCAGACTGTTACAGGTTTATGAAATGAACCTGGATAACCCATTTAAAAGCTTCATCCATACACGCAAAGAAGTCATATACTTGCTGCTCAGCTAAGCACATCTTAGTTTATTGATGTAAAGCAGGCAAAATTCTCAATCACATTATATTAAAAGTACTACAAATGTCATTCTTCAATTTATGTAGCAATGGATCATCACATTAATTACAAACTTCACAAAGAGCCAGCAGAGTTCTCAGGCTTTTCTTCCCTAAGACAACTTGTTATATTACCCGAGGGAAAAGCTACCTGTCTATCTGTATCTTATTCCTCTACACAGGACCTCCAGGGGCAGTGCAGGGCCAACAACGGGAGTGCTTTTTTAGGTCAAAAGGGGACTGCATGTGGGACATGGGTGTCCTGGGTTCAGCTACAGCAGTCATTTTTTCTCCTTCTTAGTAGCTGGTGCAGTGCTGTGTTTTTGACTTTCAGTCTGGGAACAATGCTGATAACACCGATGTTTTTAGTTGTTGCTAAGTAATGTTTACTCTGACCAAGGATTTTCTCAGTCTCATGCTTTGCCAGAGAGGAGGGGAAGCCAGGAGGAAGCAGAGACAGGACACCTGACCCAAACTGGCCAAAGGGGTATTCCATACCACAGCACGTCATGCCCAGTATATAAACTGGGGGGAGTTACCCGGAAGGCCCAGATCGCTGCTCGGGTCGGGCTGGGTATCGGTCGGCGGGTGGTGAGCGGTTGTGTCCTTTTCCCTTGTTATTCCTCTTATCATTATTATTGGTAGCAGTAGTGGTTTGTATCATACCTTAGTTACTGGAGAGCTGTTATCTCAACTCGTGGGAGTTACATTCCTTCGATTCTCCTCCCCATCCCTCCGGGAGCGGGGGGAGGAAGGAAAAGGGGGGGAGTGAGCGAGCGGCTGCGTGGTTCCAAGTTGCCGGCTGGGCTTAAACCACGACAATGGGGAAAAGCCTGAGCTGGACAAGCATGTCTGTGTGCAGGAGAGCTTGTAGATGTGATATCAAAGCCAGAGCTTGGGCAGTTGAAGAGTTGAGACGCATTTCTATTCAGGAAGAAGAAGAGGAGGCATTAGCTCAGTTTTGGTTTGAAACGTCATCTTTCCTTTCATGAGGGACTATGGAATTACTGTTGCAAGACACCCTCTTAGCTCTGCTATGCTGCAGGAATCCAGAGGTGCAAGAACTTCACAGAGTTACATGGCTCCCCCTGTGCCTCATTTGCAGCATCAAAGCTTATCACATTGCTTGTGCCAGACGAAGCTTTGTGTCAGTTCCCCTTAGCTCTCTTTCTATGGCAGAAACTCCCTTCCAGTCTTTACCTGCTCTGATACACCTCTATAAACATTGTTTTTAAACTCTGCTTTGCAAACATGCAGGGACTCATGCTATTGAGATGGTAGTAAAACCTGACTTCCCAAAAGTCCAATCTACCATTCAGAGATGGTGGTGGTTGAGCTGAAATCCAAGCTTTTTCCTTTTTTCCTTGAAAGATTTAAAAGTACCAAGAAAGTACCTGTGCTAGAATAGTTGCAGGCAGCTATTATCCCTCATCTGGTTTCACTCACACAGTAATATCAGAAACCTCTGCAGTGTTATACTGAAAGGAGAAAGTTACACATTTTATGAAAGGGAGTTCAACAATACACACCTGGGAAGAGCTTGAATGCAGACAGATCTGTTAGGCCAGAGTCTGCAACTTGTGCCTGAATGGATAGGAGGCCTGATATGGAACTGGGTTTATCCCTGTATTGGCCCTGACCCCACACTTTCCTATTAGCTGTGTTTAAAAGGCCCATTTGAATTACCCGAGCAGTTTACTGATTATTTAACATATTAATTAATTAACAAATTGGGCAGATGAAGGACTGAAATCTAGACCCTGTTACTGGACTGTATGTAATCAGAGGGAACTTTCAGGAAAATATACCAGAAAAGCAGTGTCCCTGGGTGCTCTGGAAAGCTATGCATTATCAGCAGGTTAGCTTTTTCTTTCCTTGTGGAGTCAAGTAAGATACAACCTCCTGAAACAGCTCTCTATTTTTTTTGGAAGGAAATCGTCATCAGATCTCTGACTCCTACGGTACTCTTACCTACCATCCATGTTTAGCATGGTTTACAGCAGAGCACTCCTCCGCTCCTCGCACCCACACTTTGATTGGCTTATTGCTATTTGTAAAAGCTTATGTTGGAAAGCTTATTGCTATTTAGCTGAAGCATAGAGGAAAGACTTATGCCATCGAGTGAACAGCTACTGCCTTCCTAATAAGTCGCTCTGTCATCGGTGAATTTGGTCTCATCACATCACGTTCTCTCAGGAGGCACCTGAGAAAGAAGAGGTAAGAGAGAAACAGGAAGATCATGAGTACATCAGTTTTCCTGTAAGATCATCAGCAGTATCCTTGTAAGAGGAGGGAAACAGTATGTTAAGACATGCTCTTGAAGTTCAGGTTTCCCACACTGAAAACATTTGGCCTTGGCAGTAAGTTTAAGCAGAATTCTCAGCATTGTTTTCAGCACTGGGAGATATTGAAAATGAGCACCCAGAGATCAGAGTGCACCAAGGTATCACTTCGGTATTTTATCTAATTTTTATGTTTCAAAGAGACCCCAGGAGGGGAACAGGCAAGGCTCCATATTGTCCCAAGGATCCACTCTTTTAAGTGCACAGGCAGACCCAATCAATACCTTACAACAGACCTCCGGGTGGATGAAGCAGCAACATCTATGATTTCTACCAAATGAGACTCTTGTGATTTATACCAAGGCAAGCTCACACATCAGACTCTGCAAATCTTCTTTCCCACTACAGCAGCTGTCATCATTAAGACAGATTTGATTTTCAGCATTTCACTTAGAAGTTCAGCAGCCCATTAAGTACACCGACAAACAGGCAGGAGGCCACATTTTAAGACAGACCATTTGAAAATCAACTGCCCTTGAACAAATACAGACCATTCCTCCAGAATGCAGAAGTGTACTTTTGGAATTGGAAGCTATGTTACTGTTTATCCTAGTTAAAAGTTGCTACAGTTAACATAAATGCTCCTGTGCCCAGAGAAGCTGTGGCTGCCCCATCCCTGGCAGTGTTCAAGGCCTGGCTGGATAGGGTTTTGAGCAACCTGGTCTAGTGGGAGGAGTCCCTACCCATGGCAGGAGGGTTGGAACTACATAATCATAAGGTCCTTTCCAACCCAAACCATTCTATGACACAATTTTAGCCTTCACTTATTGGTTTGAGAATACTCGCTGCTTCCTATTTTTAGTAACACTACTACTTCCCCAAATATTTAGCAGGAAAAATACTCACCTTGCAAGGTTTTGTTTGGCTTGTGATTTAGAATTTAAAGCTGCATGAATCAATAACTGGCTGAAAACATCTCTCTGAAAAAAGAAGTCAGCAAAAATACAGAGTAGTAACTAACTTAGAGTATTGCCGGTTACAGTGTCTTGTTTACCAAATTATTAAAACCACTGAGGAAGGAAAGGTATGAACAAGAAAATTTAAACAGGCAACACTGCTGATAGTGTTTGCAAACAGGATTCAGTCACAAGCACAGTTTAGCTTTTCACTTTCTGAGAATGAAGGATTGTTACTAATGCAAGTGCCGAATGGTGGCTACTGAAAGAGGATTAAGTTGTACCAGAAAGTCTTATTGATCTTCTTTACCTGAGCATTACTGCCTCCTAGTTGGATGAGCTGATAACGGATTGGGTACAGCAGATCTACAGCTTTGTCACAATTTCCATTTTCAAACTCCACAAATGCCTGGCACAGGGGCAGCCCCAAACTAGGAGCCAGGGAAAGCTCATGGTCTTCGCAAGGCGCTCTGCAGAATGAGAAAGTGGTTAACTCCTGTAAATGAAATTATGAATACTCACATTCAGTGTCACTCCATCACAACCTTTTTTACTGTACAAAGCCTAATGTTTCAGGTACTTCATTTAGACAACCTGCTCTAGTGGAGGGTGTCCCTGCCCATGGCAGGAGGGGTGTAACTAGATGATCTTTAAGGTTCCTTCTAACCTGAACCATTCTATGATTCTATAATATCGTTTGGTGTGGCTGTGTTACTTTCACCGTTTTTGTTACTCATCAGTTTTCATTCTTCTGAACAGACCCGCAAAAGGCACAAACAAGCCCAACCCCTCCTGCCTTTGCAAAGAACAGTTTTGGCTAGAAAAGTGAGAAAACTGCACAGTTTCTCTTCTATTGATCTGACCAGAACATCCTGTTGCTAGTTGACTGTCCTCACCTCTGCCAAAAGTGGCCGTCAGTCCTCGCAAAGAGCTCGCCACACAACACAGCGCCTCCCCATCTTTCTAATATGAACTGTATTCCCCATGACAGCTCTCAAAGTCCGCTCTTTCATTCTAACCATGACAGACTGCTTCTAGGCCCATGAACAGCAATGGATTTTAGCTAGCTCTGAAGTTACTGGCTTTTCTTTCCTTTTTTAGTGCTTATATCCTAACCCACCTAAGAGTAGAAGATGCATAGAGCATGACAATATGCCCGCAGAATGACACAGACATCCTAGCAGGCATCTTTGCCAATATTAAAAAAAAGAAAAAAGTAAAAACTGAAGTAACCACACTAGCTAAAGAGCTGGCCTTGGGACTACATGGAACTGTGGTTTTCCACTGCTACGGAAGCAGCTGACAGTGATCAGGTCTTGGAGGTAGTGCCATTTCAGTGCCAAAAGGTTGGCTGGCAATACGAGTACAGGAGGGCTTTCTATCAAGCAGTATAAGTGATTCCTGAGAATACAGTGCACAGTTCAATGCTCTAGATTCCACCTGTTGTTTAGTACAGATTTGTCTGTAAGTTTTCCAATTAAATCTTTAACACTGAGGAACCTTAGTTGCTGGCAATTGTTTTGAGTGCTTGCAATGACAGCCAAGAGTCACACTCCCATGCTAGTACCTTAAATTCACCAAACACAGAGATGCTCTGTGCTCTCCTTCTTGAGTCAGTATTACAAACTTCCCATTTCTTCCACTAGGTCAGTGCTGACTTTTCAGTATGCAGTGTTGCTCTATGCGTTTATCATTTCTTCAGCAAAACATTGCATCTTGGAAAATTGGAAGTGCACAACAGATGTGCCTTTCAAGTAAGTAGTTGAGATAGTGAATGAAGAAAATGATGAAACAATTCTTCATTTAAACTTTTGTTCCAGCTCTCTGATAAAATGCACAGACGGAAGACTCTTTTTTTTTTTTTTCTTTTCTCTTTCAACTGATCTGAAGTGTTGATTCATGAAGAACAACATACCCCCTGCACCAACTATTTTATTTCCACCCCCAAAAGTAAGCATGTGGAAGCAACCACCAGAGAGCACCGGGGAATACCTTACCAAAAGAATTCTTGTTGACTTCAAATTGCAAAGGCTAGGGAAAAATATTAATGAAAAGCCAAGGATGACTGTTGTTTGTGCCAAAGTTTTATGACTGCTTTTTTAACACATACAAAACCCATCCTAGGTATAATGTAGTCATCACATTCTTGTGATACACATAAATTAATCCATTAATCCAATCTTTACTCACAGTCTCACAGTCTGTTTCCTCAAATAATAAAACTAAACTTCATAATACTTCCAACCACAGCTAAAAATGTACAGCTGAATTATTACAAAAGGCTCAACACACAAGCAAAAGGAAGCACTGGGTGAAAGGATAAGCAGCATATGTTCATTAAAGCTTCCCTGAAGTGGTGTGCATGTGCAGTTTTAATGCTTTATATATACTTACATCTATTTATATACTTATATAAAAGATATTTACCATTTTCTACGTTAGTCAGATCAGATATGCTTAAGATTGATTTGACAGTTACTTGGGTTTGTAACTATTCTTTAAAATTATGTTTATTTTTTATTACTTTTGATTGATGGGTATTATAGTCAGGAACAAATAGTGACAATTTCAGGTTCTCCTTCCTTCTTTTTTAAGGCAAGGGAAGCAACAGATGCTGAAACAGAGGTAAAATGGGGGGAGGAGGAATTGCATTTAAAGCATCTATATCTTGACCCCTTCAGAAACTTGAGGCAATTTACAGTTATTTAATACATAAGGGAACATGAAAAAACATCATTTAGATGAAATACTTAAATATTCAAATGTTTCAAATAATGTAATTTGTAAGCAAAATATTCTCTATTTTTACTTTAGCAGTACTTGAAATTCAGTTTTCTGCAGAAGTCCTTCCCACACATCAAACACTAGCTATCAGAATATCACTACCAATGTTCCATTATTAAAGAACCTTTTAAACCAGAGCCATAAAAAAGAACCACCATAGATAGCTGACATATGTTGTAGAATGCCCTTACTAATACAGAGGTGAAATACTTTGTTCACTGTATGTATCATAGCTTAGTGTGAACCCATTGAAAGAAATAGACAGCAACTGTTCAATTAGCGTCCATGACTCCAAACATAAGAGATCTCTGCTTAACAAGATAAGAAACCCCTCTAGACATTAACTCAAAAAGTAAGTAACTATAGGGATCTTCTAACTGGAGACTGACCTACTTGAACCAGACATGTCCCGGTGACATGCTAGAGCAGAGTATGTCAGAGTGCTGTAGTGCTTTGGCAAGCCAGCGACATTATCAGAGGATAACATTTTTATTAAACACAATAACTCCATTCACTTGCTTACTTGGCAAGTTCCTGAAGAGTTGTTAAAAGCTCTTCAGTAGTTTTGTGGTCTTTGGCTCCAAGTGAGGACATCAAGATATGCACATCATTGAACAGAAGAACGTGATCTCTGCTGTGCTTCTTTGTAAGCTGGAGAATATTGTTCCACCTGTCTCCAAGCTTTACACCTAAGAGTAAAAAGTATTTTTCTCAGTAAAAATACCACATACAAAAGCATGACTTTGCAATATACTTTCAGCCACTCTGCATAAACAGCATTGCTACTAAACTCAAGGACACATTCGCTGAAATGGCAAAATGTATACAGTAATGCTCAGCTGCAGCATGCCATATCTGGGCAGAGTTTACTGACTATCAGTAATTTATCACAAATATTCTAGACTGCATTATGTGAGGTTCTGGCTTTATTATGACATTGCTCATGTCTTCTTGGAGATGATGTTCCAGTGAAGCATCTGTAGCAATCAAAAGAACAGAGTGACAAGATGGATTTCATAAGCAAAGCCAATGCATCATTAGTGTTTTAGCAGAATACTGTGAATGCACATCTGTCTGTCATCAACCCCCTTCATGAACTCTGGTGTATAAACACTAGCTTAAAACAGTAAAGAAATGCCACTGAGTTAGCAGACTACACAAAAGCCAGAAAGCTAATATATACATACTAGCAATTTCAATCAGTATCAAAATAGGAGGTTAAGTATCTAGCGTGACATTTACTTCAAGGAAGCTCTAGAGATTTTTAGAGGATTACATACTTGATCATTCAGCCTCCAATCTCCAGGGACAATTGAAGTGAATTTTTCAAAGAAGAGGTATGTGACCTATGCTAGCTTGAGCTGAATGAAATACCATACTGGCTTGGGAAAAAAAAAAAAAAGCAGCTCTTGGGAAGAGTGAAGGTTATGGACATTATGAATTTCACCTTGAGGCTTTTCTCAAGAGCAGAATTTTCTTCTGTATCAGATTTCCTCTGTAACACTGACCAAGCTCACTCTGTAAGTGTATTTCAATACTTCTTCAACATGCAAGGCAGGAGAACGGGGGAGTTCCCCTTACAGCTCTAAAAAAGAATGGCAGGTGAATATCCTACCTTCCAGATGAAGCCTGTACAGCATTGAAGAGTTATCTACTATATCCAGCATACTTCCACTTGACAGACACCGAGGAGCAATCTGTAATCACAGGTAATGTAATCACATAAGCTGACCAACTGATGTGCTAGTGGGAACTTAGCCAGATAATCAAACTAATTTTCACAGTACAGTATTAATTGTATCTTTTTATTTGTTCAAAAATACCCATTTTGCAATAGCCCTATTCTTTCCTGAATACACCAATTTGCAGTGACAAACATGTTGCTTCATTTGTGTTTTTCCTATTACAAAGTCAAACTCAGTAAGTATGGAGAGTCACCAAGGCATTCAATTTTTTCCAAAATGTTGCCATAAATATTACTTCACTTTGCCAAGGTTAGTAGACAGGATAGCCCAGCAGCTTTCTTAATGCTTCACTATTTTTATATTCCTTACAAAGATATATTATCCTAGCTACTTTGATATAGCTTATTTACAAAGACTGCCTTGAAATCTAGACAGTGAAGAACTAGAATAAATTAACCAGGAAAGATAAGACACGCTTCTGCTGACTTTGTGCCATACATGCAAAAATCAGTTCTTTGTAAAGGTAATTTGAGACTTTATAGGAAAATTATTTTACACCCTTTTAAAAAGCAAGAATAAGAAACACAGAATAGGAAATAGTACCAACATTGCCACTGTAGCTCTTTCAAGCACAAGTGAAAGAAATACTGAACTACATGAGAGTCTTTCGGGCATTTTACTCAAAACCACTGAGAAATACTTTCCATTAAAATCTGTAACAACAGATGTAAACGATATACACACATATATGGCACACTGTGATAGGTTCAAATCTCATAGAGAAGGAAGAAAGTATGTATCATGGTCTTAAGCAAGTTCTCAGTAAAAAAAAAACAAAGGCCCTACTCACATGATTGTCATAAATTGTCAAAGCAGCCTCATATTCACCCTGTGAAAGCAAACAAGCACTGCATGATTTAATATTCAGATACAGTAACCAAAAGTGACTGGTAGTAACCAAAACACATATATACAATTAATAATGTCGTAATACTACTTCACAACCTCCTGACAATTTGATCAAAACAAACCAAGTCAAAGAAACCTTGAGGTATTAAAAGAAAGGCTGGAGTCTGAGATAAACCAGGATTTACTAGGCAAAATAATTCGTATGATTAGGTTTCATTTAATGCTAGGTACCAACACTGGTGGAAATCAGACATGAAGGAGAAAGACAGGGTATTACCTCTTCTGTGGTTTAAGCCCAGCCGGCAACTTGGAACCACGCAGCCGCTCGCTCAATCTGCCCCTCCTTCCTTCCTCCCCCCTGCTCCCGGAGGGAT